CAGAAGACTTTAAGATTGATCAAGCTATGAGTATGATTGAAGAAAGATTACGGGCTGTAGAGGGCATTGATTTCTATGGATTTATGGATGCTGCCAATCTTTGCCTAGTTTCAGATGTTGTGATTATTCCAAAATTCAAAGTACCAAAATTTGATAAGTATGACGGTACTAAGGGCCCCATTATGCATATCACAATGTACTGTCATAAGATGACAACACATGCCAACAATAAGAAACTACTAATGCATGTATTCCAAGATAGCTTAATCTGGTCTGCTGTAAGGTGGTATGTCCAATTGGATAGAACTCACATTAAGTCATGGAAGGTTTTGATTTGGTTTTCATCAACTAATACCGTCACATCATAGATATGCCCCTGATCGCCTTTCATTATAAGGCATGGAGAAAAAAACATCTGAGTCTTTCAAGGAATATGCCCAAAGATGCCAAGATGTTGCTGCTTAAGTACAACCACCCTTGACTGAAAAGAAAACAATGGTTTTGTTTGTAAACATTCTAAAGTCACCATACTATGAAAATATGATAGGAAATGCAACCAAGAATTTTGCTAATATGATGATCTCAAGAGAAATTATTTAAAATGCCATCAAGAGTGGTAAGCTTAAGGAGGGAAAGATCGATGGTGCCAAGGAAGGTGGGATGCTTAAAAGAGAAGAGGATGAAGCCCAAGTGGTGAGTTTTGGAGCATAGCAATCTAGAAATTATGCTCCACATCCGTCATATGTTCATTTTGCTTACTATCCAATAGCCAATAATGTTGCACAAGTTTCTTATTAGCTTTATCTCTCAACCATGAACAATGCCACTATAAGTCTTCATTAGCCAGCTTTTCAAGCACCTGCATATAGGCCTTATCTTGTTACTACACCAATTTCAAGGTCTAACAATCAAGCGAGTGGTTTAAAAAGATCTAGGGGCAATCAAGAGAGAGCTTATATTGATCATATCCCCATAATCTATATTGAGCTGTTTCCAAAACTGATCAAAAATGACTTAGTATCCCTAGTCTTTTTGGAACCATTGGAGCCACCTTATCCTAAATGGTAAAATGTTAATGTCATATGTGACTATCATAATGGGAATATGGGTCACGTCATAAAACTTGCCCTATTTTCAAGCATAAGGTGCAAAGTTTGATTTGAACAAGCTCGATAAGTTTTAATGAATCAAGAGAACTAAATATCCACAAAGACTCTTTGCCCAATCATCCAGAGGCATGACTTTGGAAAGGCTGATTGAAACTGATTATCATCTTAGAATTTCTTAAGAATATGGATCTCTTTTATGTGTTTAGATTTTATTTTATTTTTCATCATTTTAATAAAAATGACAGATTTGATGCATTTTCATGACATTTTTCTTTTTTGAATACCCATCATTTACTTTTACCATCTCATACCCTATTTTTCTACCTATTTTTTAACCTTTGAATAATGAATGTTTAGGGAATCGTGATGATAATTCAAGATTTGACTTTGAAAACACCATTCCTGATGTTTTATTGATAAATTTGAGATTGTTGGGACTGTTGAATAAAAAAATAAATTTGGTGAAGAATTTTGAAAGTGATGCAACACATGATCTTTGTAATTATTCATTCACAAGTCTACTTTTAGTCAATGACTTCATTGAAAGTATTCATGTTCAAAATGAGAAATGGCCATCTTTCTTTTATCCTTCAAAACATAAAATTATCCCTTGCTATCCCATTTGAGCCTGTTGAAAATTTTCTTTGAGAACCTTAACCAAGGATCACCCCCATTCTGGGGGCAAAGTTTGAAAAATTTGTTCATTTTTAGAGGCAAATTCCTTTTGTGATCAAGTTTTCTTGACAAATGAAAAAATAAAAAAATTAATGGGGCAGAATACCAATATGCTCCACAAAAAAGAAAAGAATTGATATGGCAAAATGTCAAAATGCTCCATCAAAAAGAAAAAAAAAATTGATGGGACAAAATGCCAATGTGCTCCACCAAAAAAAAAATGACAGAGCAAAACACCAATGTGTTCCATAAGAAGAAATGATCCTTGGTTTGATTACCTTTCAAATACAATTTGGGCCTATTCTATCCTTTTCTTTGGCACCTTTTACCTTAGCCACGTTACGTCCCTCGAAAGTCTATTTTGATCAATTATGAATACTTGATTTGAAGAATTATGAATTGAACTAAGGTAAGTTTGTCATTAGGTTGTGTGAAGCTTTGATCAAAGTATCAGCAAATGAAAAAATAAAAATAAAAAAGATATACAAAAAAAAGAAAAAAAGTAAAATAAAAAAATAAAAAGCAAAAAAAAAAAAAAAAAAATAAAAAAAAAGAGAAAAGAAAGAGAGAAAGAAAGAAAAAGGAAGACTTAAACTGAAAACCCGAAAGGGCGACTTAAGTGAAGATGAAAACTTGACAAGATCCCCAGAATGAGGATGATGATTAGATCAAAGATTGAATATACTAATGAAATGTGTTTTTAAAGGATGATCATGAGTTTGAGTTCAAAATTGTCTGAGCATTCATTATTTTGAATGTTATTGTCCTATTTAAGTAAATCACAGCATTTTACCTTTGTTCACCCTTAAATTGTTCTTGACCTTACCTTCTGTTCTTTCAATAATAAAGATCCTTTATCCTATCTTTCACCAAATGAACATTTTCTGAATAAACCAAAAAATGCATCATATTTGTCATTGATTTAAATGATGGCAAGTAAATGAATAACAATGTTCATAAAAAGTTTTCCACCCTTTCTAAAAGGAATCAAGATGAAAGAAGTGGAAAAAGCCTGAGAAATTATTACAAAAAGGGGCAAACAAGTCAACCCAATAATGAATTCAATAATAGGTTGGTTGACATGACGTATGAGTTATGACCAAATAAAGAATGACATAAGGTAGTTGATAGAATTTGTTTAGAGATGCTAAGAAGCTGAAGAAGAATACGTGAGAAGGTGAAATCTTGAGAACTTTGTCACCAAAACTAAATTTGATAACATTAACTCTACATACATTACATTAGCAAAGGGCATGCACTTGCATTACTCTGTTATCACTCACTTGATCTTAGCTGAGTCTAGGTCATTTTTCATGACTCACAGCATCATTCTAGTCATCCGATCTTGGCTCGGTCTAGATCATTTTTTTGACCTTTGCAAAACTTGAAACCTTACGAATCTTGCATCTTTACGAATCTAGAACCTTTGCGAAACTTAGAGTCTTACGAATTTTTCTTTCTCACAAACCTGAAAATCCTTGCGAATCTTACATCTTTGCGAATTTAGAACCTTTGCAAAACTTGAAACCTTGTGAATCTTGCCTCTTTGCGAATCTAGAACCTTTGCAAAATTTGGAGTCTTGCGATTTTTTCTTGCAAACCTGAAAATCCTTGCAAAATTTGCATATTGCGAATCTTCCATTCTTGAGAATCTGAAAACTTTTGCAAATTTTGAATGCTTGCGATTGTGGGATCTTTTCAACTTTTGTCTAAATTGCAAATCTTTGCATTTAGAGTGAAATTTCAAACTTCATTTTTGACTCGTGGTTTCATCTCGATCATTTATTTTTGACATCGACTCGGTTCTAGTCACCACATTCTTGACTCGTGGTTTCATCTTGATCACTTAATCTTGGCTCAGTGCAGATCATTCCTTATGATTCGTGGTTTCGTCTCGGTCATTTATTTTTGACTTTGACTCGATTCTGCTCGCCTCATTTTTTACTTGTAGTTTCATCTCGGTCACTTGATCTTGACTCAGTCCAGATCATTCCTTATGACTCGTAGTTTCGTCCCAGTTATTTATTTTCAACCTCAACTCAGTCCTAGTCGTCTCATTTTAACTCGTGATTCTATCTCGGTAATTTATTTTCAACCTCAACTTAATCCTGGTTGCCTTATTTTACTCGTGATTTTGTCCTGGTCACTTGATCTTGGCTCAGTCCAGATCATTCCTTATGACTCATGGTTCCATCTCGATCCTTTATTTTTGACCTCGACTTGGTATTGGTCATATCATTTTTGACTCATAGTTTCATCTCGGTTACTTAATCCTGACTTAGTCCAGATCATTCCTTATGACTTGTGGTTTCATCTCGGTCATTTATTTTCGACATTGACTCGATCTTAATCACTTCTTTCTAACTCGTGATTTCGTTCTGATCATTTATTCTCGACCTCGACTTGGTATTGGTTGCTCTATTTTTGACTTGTGGTTTCATCTTGATCACCCGATCTTAGCTCAATCTAGATCATTTTTTATAACTCGTGATTTCGTCATGATCGTTTTTGCTCACTGATTTAACTCAAATAAAATGAGTATCTAGGTCTTTGCACCATTTCTGTCAAATAAAAAAGTACAAAAAAAATAACTGTAAATACTCATATGTGTTCGAAGGGTTAATAAGATTATTTTTATTTTATTATATGTTATTATAGTATATTAACATAATATATTATATGGCAATATATTATGCTATTATTGTTATATATTATCACTATTATTATTATTATTATTATTAGTTTTAAAAAAAAAAAAAGAAGGAAATTGGTGATTCAATCTCGGATCCGTTGGAGCATGATTCTTGGTGACTTAATCATGGATCCGTTGGAGCGTGATTCTTGGTGATTTAATCCCAGATTTGGTGGGCATAATTCATGCATAGAATCAAGCATATACAGCCGGCGATAAAGAGCAAAGAATGAAAAATAAAAAGGGAGGAAGAAAAAAGGATAAAAGACAAGAGGCCAAAAAAAAGAGATGAGGGGATTCCTGCAGCAATAGGAAAATCCTCTTTGCTTCTTGGAAGGAATCGAGTGCTAAATATCTTCCTGGAGGTAGATTCTTCTTCAAAAACCCTTTTCTTTTAACTTCTGAGTTTGCCACGGAGAGCTTTGTTAAGCGTATAGTCATCTGAATACCTGGCATCGGACACTCGTTGAAGGCGAACTAGTATTGGTTCAACTTCTTTCTTCAGCAAATCCTCTTCACGATGTTCGAGACGATAAAATGAATATGCCAGCTTGTCTCTGTCTTCATCACCAGGAAGTTCTAATGTCTCTACGTCCTCAACAATCAAACCCAACCCAAAAAAAAAAAAAAAACAAAAAAGACATAGGTGACTATGGCTGGAGTGCCGAACAAGAGAACATTCAGTAAGTTTAGTTTCAAAGGCGTTAATTTGGATACCCTTCCTTGATATATCCACTAGTGAACTGGCCAAGCTCTTCCCTGCTCGTGCTAGCAGAAGGTTTCCAGAGGGGTATCAAGAGAAAGCCTATGGCTTTAATCAAGAAACTCTGCAAGGCGAAAAAGGGAGGCCCCATCTGATGAGAAGCCTGAACCAATCAGAACCCATATGCGCAATATGATCACTGTACCTGAAATGATTAGAAGCATTATCATCATGTATAACAGCAAGACATTTAATCAGATGGAGGTGTAAAATTCTGAATAAGGGCCTATGATTGAAATAGGTGGAGGTGTGCCAGCCGCAGAAACAAGCCAGGGTGGAAGTATGACTTGTGGAGGCGTAGCATATGGGTTTTCTGACGCTCAAACCAGTTATAAAGAAGCGAAGGAAAGTGCAACCTCTATGCAGAAACTTTTGATGGCAGTATTGCCTTGCATTGTCCTTAGGAGGGTAGAAGTAGCTGGAGGAATTAAAGCCAACAGTCTTGCAATCTTAACTGATGTAGCCCGTCTCTTGTCAGATGTTGCAGCATTTACAATCCCCTTGTTCTCCTTTTGGGCATTCGGGTGGAAGGCAAATCCACGTCAATCTTATGGATCCTTTAGGATTGAAATTCTTGGTGCCTTTGTTTCCATCCAGCTAATATGGCTTCTAAACGACATTCTTGTTTATGAAGCCATAGCATGACACAGGTGAAGTTTAAGGCTTTCTCATGTTCGTGGCTTCTGCATTTGGTTTACTGGTTAATGTCGCTATGGCTCTCTTGTTGGGTTATAATCATGGCCATGCTGTGAAGGATCATGACCTCCATGACCACGGTCATAGTCATGACAGTGAACCACGTAATTATGGACTAAGTATAACTTCCCACCATTAACATCAGCAGCTGTGCCACTACTGACGCCTTTTATCTCTATATTTCTTGCTCCAGGGTGGCCCAGTTGCCAGGGTTTCGAACAAGGAAATGTTGAAGCTAAAACAGAAGCTGGTTTTCCTGATTTTGGAAATGGGGATCGTTTTCCATTCAATGATAATAGGGGAGGAAAACTCTCATGGTGACAGCCAAGAAATGCTGCCTCGTTTTCCAGGAGGCGGATTGCTGTATAAGCGCAGCAGGTAACTATGTGGTTATCGAGAAAACCGTCCAAACTACTGTTCAGGAGGTTACTGGACCCAAAGCTCTTCAGGACTATAAGCTCCTTGACCAGATCGGATATAATTTCCAGGGTCTTCCTGGAAATTATACTCGGCCAAGGCATGTGACAGAACGCGTCTCCACCAGTATCCTACGATTTGCGTTTGGATTGTGGACAAGAAGGTGTTTTCAGAGGCATGCGCGCATGCGGCCCTTTCCAAGGTGGCGGAGGATTCTTTCTTAGATTTGATACGATCAGATGCGGCTAGGCTTTTGAGGTTGAGGCATCCAGGAGTGATATACGTGGTCCAGGCTTTGGATGAAAATAAGAACGCGATGACGATGGTTACCGAGCCATTGTTTGCGTCGGTGGCTAATGCGCATGGGAATGTTGAGAATGTAGCCCTGGTTCCTAAAGACCTTGTAAAGATGGAAATGAATTTGAAGCATCGGTTGCTTCAGATTACAGAATCCTTGGATTTTCTTCATAACAATGCACGTCTTATTCATCTGACTCTATCACTTGAGAATGTCCTGATTACATCAAGTGAAGTTTGGAAGCTTGGTGAGTTTGGTTTTGCTATTTCGACAGATCAGGTCTCTATTGATCTGGTTAACGTGCAGGCCTTCAATTATGCTGAATATGATATTGAAGATTCTGTCATACATCTTCAACCATCCCCTCCAGGTCATTTCCACGAAGGTTGTTTTTCTAATTTTGATTTCTTCTTTCTTCTCGTTTTTTGTTATTAGCTATGTAAAGATCTTGAAGCTTACGAGTAATAAAAAATATCTTTTCAAAAAAAAAAAATCTTCATAAAAAAAGTTTTCAAAATAAAAGGAAATAATAAAAAATTATATAATTGTTTTTGAGGTTTTACTGTTTTCTTTATGTAATAAAAGTAATAATTCAAGGTTTGGATAATTTGAAATCGAAACTGATACAATCTTTGGATGGACGTTATGGGGGTGCTACAACCTTCCCAAGCGTAATCTACTTCCGAATCTAATCTCTATTTTGTAGTCTTGCTTCAATCAGGTGACCAATCACACTTAACTAAAAAAGATTGGTGGCGACTCCCTTTCATTCCAAGTCTAAAAATAGTTTCACGGATCTATATATTATGACACTTGTTCATTAAAATTTTAATAATTTTATGTTTAGTAATTATTTTAAATTAATTAAATTAAAACTATTTTATATTTTCTACCATTTATTTTATTTTATATGAAAGGTTTATACAAAAATAAAATAAAAATAACAAAAAAATCATAAGTTAAATAATATAAATATATAAAAAAATTGAGCAAAAAATTAAAAAAAAAAGTTATGATAAAATACCTAAAATGCCCCTAGTCAACATTGGTCAAAGGTTCGAAACGGCTCAGACGGCTTCGCTAATCGGCTTGAACCTATAGTCCATAGCTTAATCGGCTTGGCTTGGATATATGGCTCGACTCTATTCCTAGCTCAGCTTGGTGGCTTGGCTACCACTTTAATTAAAACTATGTCGTTTTGATTTCAGTATAAATAGCCCTCAAAATACCCCACGCCCTCATTTTTTTCTTTCTTCTCCTTTTCTCTTTTTTCTCTCTCCTTTCCCCCAAAATTCTTCTTCACTCTTCTTCCCCAGTTTCTGGCTCTTCCTGTTACCGTCGATCATCGTTGTTGATGCCGTTGCCCACCACCGTTAAGTGTGCCAAAAAAATTCCAAAAAAAATTGAAAAAATTATTTTCGACCCCTTAAATTCAAATCCAACCTCTGTTTCGTGAGAAACGACATTGAACGATGTAGATCGAGGCCTAAAATTTTGGTTATAATGAAAATTTTTTTTTTTTGTGTTTTTGGTGTTGAGATCCCCGTTACCAAGGGTTGTGTGTTTTTTTTTGGTTTGGTTTTCTTGGCTTTTTAATGGATTTTTTTTTGAACTGGTTTTTTTTTTTTTTAATTTTTCAGCAAGTTTTTTGTTGAGTTTTTTTCCTTTTTTTTTATCCCCTTTGTTATGGGTTTTCGTGGCTCTATTTATAGAGCAAAAAACAAGATTAAAATCTCAGAAAATCTGAGATCTGTGGGATTATGGATGGTGGTTGTCATGTGGCTGGTATAAAAGTTTCCAAAAAAAAAATAAAGAAAAAAAATAAAAATACAAAATGAGTGTTTTCAGTTGCCCTTTTTTGCCTATTTTTGAGAATCAGGAATAAGGGAAGACTAAGAGACAACCATTTTGTTCAAGCAAAGACAAAACATTGAACACAAAGTTTTTTTTTCTTTTTTTTTTTTTCAAAATTTGAAAAGTTCCTTTAAGTAGAAGCCTAAATTTGTTTTCAAATTTAAAAGAGCTTATCTCAATAGAGGCTCGACGACTTTTGAAAATTTAAGAGGGCTCCTTTAAGTAAAGGCTCAACAACTTTTAAAAATATAAATGGCTCATCTAAGCAAAGGCTCAACAACTTTAAAAATTTCATATTAAAAAAGCTTCTTTAAGCAGAGGCTCAACAACTTTAAATTAAACCATCGAAAAATAACTTTGAATATCACCATCAAAGGAAACTCAGATGTCGCCACTGAAAAGATATGAATGACTTTGGATATTGCCATCAAAGAAAACTCAAATATCGCCATCGAGAAAATACAATTCAAGCTTTAACACTCGGATATCACCATCGAGAATATGCAAATGATTTCGGATATCATCACTGAAGAAAACTCGATATCACCATCGAGAAAATACAATTTAATTTTTAACACTCGGATATCACCACCAAGAATATGCAAATGACTTCGGATATCACCACGAAGGAAAATCGAATATCACCATCGAGAAGACATATTTCAAGCTTTAACACTCAGATATCATCACTGAGAATATACAATTTAAACTTTAACACTTGGATATTTCCACCGAAAAGATGCAATTCAAACTTTATCACTCAAATATCACCACTAAAAAGATGCAATTCAAACTTCAACACTTAGATATCACCATTGAGAAGATGCAAATGATTTCGGATATCACCATCGAAGGAAACTCGAATATCGCCATCGAAAATTCAAAACATAGAGAAAGAGTGCAAATTCAAACTTTAAACTTGGATATCACTATTGAGTGATTTTGAAAATGTCTTGAATAACCAAAAATATCATATCACCATCAAGAAAACAAAATTCATACTTTAATACTTGGATATCACCAAGAAAATGCAAATGTAGAGAAAGAATGCAAAGTTAAACTTTAAACTTGGATATCACCATCGAATGATTTTAAAAATGTCTTGAATATCACTTTCAAAAAAATGAAATTCATACTTTAATACTCGGATATCACCATCGAGAAAATGTAAATGTAGAGAAAGAATGTAAAATCAAACTTTAAACTCAGATATCACAATCGAGTGATTTTGAAAATGTCTTGAATATCACCTTTAAAAAAATGAAATTCAGACTTTAATACTCGGATATCACCATCGAGAAGAATGTAAATTCAAACTTTAAACTCGGATATCACTATCGAGTGATTTTGAAAATGATTTATCACAATATTTTTCTTGGCTGATGTCGATTTCATTGGGTTAACAACTTTTTTGCCAACTAGATTAGGTTTAAAGCTCTCATCTTGTGCCATCTCATTGAAATTTTTAAAAGATCTTGATTTTTTTTAATATGTTTTTACTCTTTTCTTTTTTTCTTTCTTCTTTAGTGTTTCCAAAATTGGTGAACACCATTATGAGGCAAATGAAATACAAATGTCTTTCTTAAATGATGCTTATGAGATGCAAATGTCTTTTCTTAAAAAGATGTACATGAAATGTAAATGTCTTTTCCAAAAATACTAATGCATATTTTCCTATCAATGTTGGACAAGCTAATGATGCAAATACAAAATCAAAATATTCAAGTGCCAAAAATTTTCTTTTCAAAAATAGCCAAGTCAAGATATGCAACTGCCCGAAATCTTTTTTCTTAAATTTTCCAAAGTTCTTTTGTTTCAAACTCGAATCATTCATCTCATCTCATTTCAATTCCAAATCCTTTTCTTTGTTGCCCATTTTTCATCAATTTCTATTTTTTTTCTTCACAATTTGGATTTCTCAACTTTTCTTTCTATTTTTCATCTTTAAATCAAACATGCATATGATCAACTCGAACATGGTGAAAGTGAATTGAAGAAAATAAGCCATCGAACTGTGGTGAAACTCAACTAATTAAACATACTTTTGTACTACAAAGTGTTTCCCATAATGCCATTTATTTTTCTCAAAGTTTTTTTTCTCCTCAAAAACATTTATTTTAATGACAAAATTCTCACAAAAAACTGCCTTAGTCAACCTTTATGAAACAACGTGACTTTTAAGTCTCTAAAAAATGGTGATCATTATTATGTAGATATCTGAACAAAATGGCAATTTCATATTTTCAAATGGCTTGGATGATTAATTCTTAAAAGGACTTCACAACTCGATATGAAAAATTGAATTTTTATCTAGGTTCAACAACAAATTTTTTTGAAAGGTTTTTTTTTTTTGTTAAATTAGATTTGACACTCTTTTTAGTATCACAATGTGGTATTTTAATAGATGTCAAGACCAGCTAT